GTTTTGAAATGACTAGGCCAGATGCTTGAAGATTTATTTGCATTATACCATATTGCGGGTATTAACTGTAACCCGTCATTAAATTCCGCAATTATAAATCTGTTGCTGTCCATTTCTATATGATATGACACACGCAATTGTACAGTAAATATGAATTATATTATACTTTAAAAAATATTGTATAACGCATAAAATTATATTTTAGGGATGGCCAACCTTTTTGTCGGGCGTACCACAATAAAGGTTTGAAATCTTCGATGTGCTACTACAAAATTAGGTAAAAAGAAAGATCGTAATCTTACTTATACGTTTTCTTTTCTTGCACTAAAAGCAAAAAGACTTTAAGCTTTTCTAAGCGTATCACTATAAAATTGTATAATAATGGTACGCGTGCCACGGATTTTGGCCACCCTTGTTATATTTGATGATTAAGAGGAAATATAGCAAATATATCTCGATCATTGCCATAAGAAATTTTCCAAGTTTTGCATAATAAATCAGTAATTGGCCAAGAGAAAATATTATTATAATCTACACTCATGATTTTAATACCAAAATCGCTGGAGTTACATGGTAATGTATAGACTTCTTTTAAGTATTTCAGTTTTTTTCCAATTAGAAAAATGTCTTTATTTTTTTTTGTACTATGTTTAGAATCAGAACATATGTACCATCTTTTAATAGACAACAATTGTTATTACCACCTTTGCAATTTATATTAAATTTTCCGTTACATATCATTTGATATTGTAAGTGAACATTAAAATGGTCTGGTATTGGACCATTGCTGTGTACAAATTTACATGAATATGTTTCATTATTCTCCGAAGGTAATACATTACAATTATCAATCTCATGATATCTTTTAACTAATTGTTGTAATGGTTTTTCATTTTTACGTAATCGTCTTTTAATAAACGACATATAATTTTCAAACCGAAAAGCACTGAAATTGTCTAGTGGGCCATACATTTTAACGTCAGAACATATATGCAAAAGATTATGTACATTGTGCGATACATACTGTTTACCGTATAATATTTCAAAAGATTTAACGAAGTGCTTCAATAAAGCTTCAGCAAAATTTAATTCTTCTTGGCATGAATTTTGACGTATAAGAATTGTTATAGCTACATGTAGTGTTAGAAAATGAATATACAAAGCATGCTTTAATATATCCTTTAATACGATAGGACCTGTGTATAATAAGAAATTTCGAAATTCTACAGCTTTCCAATTCTTTACTTCTTTTAACGACCTAGGTCGTCGTACAAAATCATTTGGTGTAGTAAATCTAAATAACATTAATAAATGTGATATTTTATTAATGGCTCTTCTACCTAAACGTACAGAGAATGGCCCTGTCATCAATAGAATTAGTATTTTTTTTACGATCCCTAAACGTATAAGATGCATATAGTCTAAGGAGGTATTAGTTAAAGGTAAAAATTTGGAAATATTATTTAATATAGAAAATCCAATCTGAAAATCTTTATATGCGTTGAGGGCAAATAACTCATCTTTTCTTAGAGGATAAGTTTTGTGAGATGGAAAACAAATTCTACCATTTAGATACTTTCCTTTTATTAAGCATTTAGTGCAACTAAAATATGCATTGTGACTTTTTGTACATAAAACGAATGACTTTGCAGGTGCGTCGCATATTAAAGCACATAATTTAATTGTGATTATTTTTTCGGCATGAATGTAGCCATTATTAGTTAAATTAATTAAGTCATCAACTACAGGTTGCAAAAAAACATTAGGGTCAGAAAGTTTTTGATATCCAAAGTAAGCACCAACAAGATATACTGTCGTATTTACCGTATTAGAACATAAAATTGTCCATAAAGTTGCTTGTGATGATTTTGCTAATGGAAGACCATCAATATTTAAAATTAAATTAATACAGGTATCATTATTTTTTGATAGCATCTTTTTAATAATATCCTGCAAATTCGAATGAAAATATTCCCCTTCACATATTCTAGAAATATTAGTTTGTCTAGGAGTGTGCAATAATGTACGTACATCTACAGGTATGTTATACGGCGTATACCGATGTAAAATATGTAATAAGTCATTACATGCGTTATGGGTAATATTATGGGATACTGCCCATGTAGCTATAGCATTTCTTAATTCGTCCTCATTATTAACATTATTAGCCGTGATAGTTTCGTTAGTAATACAGTTCTGATAGTTACAACTGTTTGTTTGTATATCATTATTATGTTTTTCTGACAATGTAGTTTCATTAAAAATTTTCTGAGTATCATGTAAATTAGAAATATGAATTTCTGCAAGAGTCTCATCAAATAAATCTAGATTAGAAGAATTTTTAGAAGAAATATTTATAGTGTGCCGATTCGAAATAAATTCAGAGCATCCTGCTATATCAATCTGTATTATTTGCTATAATTCGTCTATTGTGACGTTTAGAAACAATTTTTTTTTGTTTTGCGTTATATTTATCCATATTTTTTACAATACGCAATAATTACATATTTATGTACTATATGCTGCAAAAAAATAGAATTATAAGTATTAAAAATGCAACAAGAAACAAATAAAAAATTTTTAATAAATATAAATTCGCAGACTAATATTATAGATACTTTATAGGAAAATTTCTCAATAGTGGCTCACAATTAAAACAACTTAAATTCAATTTCGACTTTATAAAGAAAAGTGTGCAAACCGTTTTGTGACCGAGCATGCATAAGCATAAATGCTTTAACTGTTTCAATAAATATCAGGCGTTAAAAATGCATACATTTTAATAGAAATTTCTACCGACTGATCTGAAATAATAAAGCGTCCATACCTGCGAATATAGATGACGATTATAAGAATAATTAAAAATGATAAAGGGTTTGCACGAAAGTAAGCCGAAGCTGAAGTTAGGTTAAGTGAAAGTTTATATCGCTACAACTACTACACAGACGTTTGAGTAAAAGAATAATAATTTACATACCTTGATTTTCTATATTTCCTCTCTTTTCCAATATTTTTCATCAAATGATTTTCTATCTTTTGTGTGGAACTATCAGATCTCGTCAAAAATCAGATTTCGTCGAGCACATCGGGCACACGTGTTGCGCGAGAACATGCGAGCACATGCGAGAAGGTGCGATGCATGGCGGGATGTTTCCTACCAACGAAACCTTTCTGCACATGCGTGCTAATTACGTCACAGTTTCGCAACTTAAATGCATCAAATGCTTGTACGATTTTCGATCTTATACGAGCAAGATTAAAAATTATAGTAATATTATAATGATCAGGTATTTATATATTTTGTTGTTTAGTTATTCTAAAGCAGTAGTATAAATTAAACGTAGGAATAAAAATTATATTAATTATAATATTGTTGAAATAATGTTGCAACATTGTTGAAATAATATTGCAAAAAAAAATCTTTCCAATGTCTCTGCAACATTGCACTGCAATGTGCAACGTTGCAACATTTCAGCAATGTTGCTGCAAGCGTCTATGCCGTACGGGTAATAACATCTTTCTGTCTCTCCAAATATTTATTTTTTGAGTAAAGCCAAATGATATATTTTTTAACTGAAAATAAAAAATAACACAAAGTATTCTAGTTTAAGAATACTAATATTAAAAATTAAAATTAAAATATTTTGAAAAACTTATCTGATGAATCTAATCTTGTTAAGAAAAAAATCTAAAGAATTTTTATTTTTTATTCAAAATTACAACAGTAAATATAACTTGCTTAACCTAAAGCTTCAGTAACCTCATTTCAACGATGAACTGTCAAAATATAAATGATTTCGCTCAAGATACGAAGTTACGCGCGCGGCGCGATCGAGTTTTGGACAACCAATCAGCATCACAGAAAAGGAGGCAACAATAAATTCGACTATCGATTTAACATCTCTTTTTTATAATAGTAAAATTAGATATTGTTACGCTCGCGCTCACTGTTCC